AGACTGGGAGTTGTAGTGACACTCTGCAGATGGGCTAGACTGGGAGTTGTAGTGACACTCTGTAGATGGGCTAGGCTAGGAGTTAAAGTGATTCTGCAGATAGGCTGGGAGGTGTAGTCACACTGGAGACGGGCTAGTCGCCCCATGATGGCTGAGAACCCATAATGAAAGCTCGCGTATTAATGCACTTGCAAGGCCGTGTGGAAAACGAAAACAGCTGAGCAGCGCTCCGAACGCCTTTGCGTGAGTGTAGCTAATGGCTTGGGCAAAGAGGCGATCAAGAATTGTCATCATTATCGCGCGCAACTCGCGTGGGACCTCTCCCTTCACTCCCATCCCGCTCCAAAGTACCCGCACGGAAGACTCCGAAAGCAGAAAATAACATCGCCAGCTCCACGCCACCGCACGACAGACAGCCGCCACAGGGCTGCGCACCACACGCTATCGAGGCGTCGTTGACAAATTGTCCGATTTGTTGTTGCTGTTGCTGCTGCTGCATCGCCAACAAAGGGGGATATCTCCGTTGAGCCATTGAGCCGGCGAAGCCGAGTTTCGATTCCCAGCCAGTGGTGAGAGAACGTGTCTCGGACTCAGCCCCGGGACTGGACTCTCACCAAGCCACCAGCGTGGTAAAAGTGCGCTCGGACAACCGCCACGGCCGACGCAGCACCGCAAGGGAGGAGGCCTTCATCCAGCAGTCCATTGACGCTCCATAAATCAAAATTGTCCATGATACAGGGTTTTTTTTTGGGTTAGATGGTGTAAATATATAATTGCGTCGTTAAACCCGCCACCACCCGACACAGCCAACTAGTAAGGGTTGTAACGTAAACAGAACGTGGCCAAATTCGTCACTAGTACAGCGACACTGGTGTGTTGGAGAGTAAAGCCACAACATTTACAATCTTAGTACGACGTTTCGCAGTAATTACAACTAGCTTCATCAGGCGACAGCCAGATTTGTGGAGAAGTCGCGAAAACCTACGTGTTAAACCAATACATATGATATTGCGTTTATATGGCATTGTATGTACGTGTGTGTGTGTGCTGAACTTCCTTCACACCGTACGTTGCCGGGCATGCTCGTCACACTCGGAGAGACCGGGAGTATTTATTTTATAAGAGGTAAAGAGGCAGTGAGTCATTGGCAGAGGGAAAATAGATCTTGACGAGGGGCAGGTAAATCTTGACTTAAAGCTTTCGTGACTGCAGGAATTCATATTCTTGGGTCTTTCGGTAAAGTCACGCAGATAGGTTCAAAGAAAATAACAAAAAAATACATTTTTAAAAACTACGACGTTTCGATCGCAACACAAGCGATCGCCTCTCCTGATGACGATTGCTTGTGTCGCGATCGAAACGTGGTAGTTTTTTTGTTCGTTATTTTTCTTGTTATTTTCTTTGAGCCTATCTACGTGACTTCACTGAAAGACCAAAACGAATATGAGGGGGGCAGGTAGTCAACAGCACGGACGGCTGGGGGGGACGGGAGCTCTGTGGGGGGGGGGGGGGGGGGTGGTGGTGGGGGGTAGCGGCGTAGGAGAATGAGCGACCTTCAACGGAACCATGGGACAAACTCATGGGGAGAGAGAAAGAGAGAGAGCACGCGTCCGAGATTCGTATAAACGAACCACACGCGACGCTCACATCGCCAGCTCCTTGCACTTGTGGCAAGGCAGACGGAAAATCCAGACTGAGTGGGGCGAGCGGGCGGGCGGGCGGAGACCGAGAAAGATTTCGCCTAGGGACGCATCAGCTCACACTCACCCGAGATTCAATGAATTTTTGGGTCCCCAATCTGGACCGCGATTCAAGTCAAAGGGTTGATTTGTGTCGTCGTCGTCTTCTTCGTCGTTCAGCCTCGTTCGTACAGTGCTGTCTCTTCCACACTTTGACACCGTCACACAATTTGCATCTCATTTACATAGAGTGCAAGAAAACCAATTTGCACCACGTGCATTGTTCGTTGCGTGCATGCAGAGGGTAAATAAATTAATTTCATCAACTCAATTGAAGCGTGGGTGTGAAGCGGTGGTGCAGTGGTTCGCGCACTGCGCTGCTAACCCGGCGACCTGAGTTCTATTCCCGGCCACAGCGACCGTCAGTGGCGAGTGATATACCAGAACCGGTCTGGTGTCTCTCCCGCTCGTCACCAATCCGCATTGACCAGCGCGGTGAAGTATGGTCAAATAACCCTTCATTACCGACATGGCATGCGGTGACCTTCGTGTAGCAGAGAACTGACAACAGGCTGTAAATTGTTATAGAAAGTATTAGTTTCATGTAATCGATGCATCATCGGGTGCCCAAGAGGTTTATGTGGGACAGGAGTCAGTGGCGGGGAGACCGACACGGCGGCGCTGGGAATTGATGGGCGGTGGGAAGTGTGGAGGAGATGAGAGGGGACAGGACAGGGTCACGGAGCAGGCAGGGGGTTGGGAGGCAAGAGGAGAGGAAGGGGTCACGGGTCACGGGTCACGGTGTGGGGGTGACCTCTCACCGGTCATAGAGGACGTCCTCTTGGCACATGCACACGATGATGTATCCGGACGCACTGGCCATCAGAGCCTGCACCACGGACACCAGCCTGGGCACAACAACAACAACAACGGCATCATCAACATTGTAACCATCATCATTATCATTAATCGTCATCAGCATCAACAACATTGTCACCGTCATCATTATTCTCATTGTCCATCATTGTTTACTTCTTTAGCATCATCGTCAATATCATCATCCTCATCACCAGCACTGTTCTTATTCTCGATCGTCGTCGTCGTCATCATCCTTATAACCGCCCACGGAACGGTCCCGCACTCTCTCACAGCCGTTCTTAAAGCGCACGCTTCCAGATCCAAATTTCTACAAAATCTCCGGTAAAATTTTTTTTTGTTCGAACCATGCGTCCATCAGCGTATAAGCGAACTCACCAGTTCATCATGGCTACGGCCTTATACCCCGACGCTGCATTGTTCACTGAAATTTCCAGGTCGCTGGGAGATTGGAGTAGGTGTCACCACTGGCACGTAACTAGAAATCCACGGCCATTGTGAGGAGGACACCACGGTGGGCGAGATGTTAACTACCTCGCCTGGTATACAGGAGGTTGTGGGTTCGATATTTGTAGTTTGCGTGTCTCTTTCCCTGTAGTCGTGCGGATTTTTTTTTACCAGTCCTCGAGTTTTTTCCCCCCCCACATTTAGAAACACGCGTTTAGAGTGTTTGGTTGCTATACATTTCCACACGATAGGCCACTTAGTTGAGCTATCGCGTGTGGCCTGGTCGATTAAAAACAAAAGCCATATAGCTCAGTGGGGCTTACCTGGTAAAAATTTTAAAAAATAGTTTGGTATACTGGACGGATATATTTTCCGGGACACGGACAGTGACAGACCCAACTGAAATGAAGTCGTGTTGCTTGTAACAGAAACATTTTGGAAACAACATCAGAAAGGCTACGGACGAGCGGGCGGCTCCTTGGTCCATTTAGCTCGCGATGGGCCAGAAAGCACAGTGAAGGCGGAAGGCAGCCAGACACCTGGCGCCAGCAGTTGCTGGAAATATGTCTCTGACGTTTTGGGCAATGGTCCTTCTTCAGCGAAGAGTGAAAGAGTGAAAGAGAGATGCACCGTGGGGCCATGGAAAAAAAAAACTTGGGAGATCTTAATAAAAGTGCGAAATGTTCTTGATAACTTTTTGACATTTTAAGGAATGTTAATAACCACGCTCGTTTTGATTCAAAGCTTTCGTGACTGCAAGGATTCACATTCTTGGTTCTTTCGGTAAAGTCACGTAGAAGATAAAAAATAAAATATATATTTTTATTATTTTATTTAATATATATTTTTTCTCTTCTACGTGACTTTACCGAAAGAACCAAGAATATGAACCAAACTCGTCTCAGGGGGAAGAATCTGCCACTCCCCCCCACCCCCCCCCCCCCCCCCCCCCCCCCCCCCCCATTAGCCCAGCATCTCGAGATGGTTCACGTTTGGACAATTTATAAACACCGGAGTTCTATCGAACGGGGGATATTGCGTTAATGTACGCTGACAAAGGAGCGGTTCAGAATTGACATATGAGCAGTTTCCTATGAATAGACAATGATCGAATAGGCACGAAGATGCGCACTGCGGAGATGGAGAGAAGAGGTAGGCTCTCCTGTGCACGTGCTGGGGGAAATGGTTGCATCGCACGACTCTGATGGAATGGCGACGGCTTGGTGGGGCGTTCATCCAGCAGTGGATTGATCATAGCTGATGATGATGATGATCAAATAAACCCTCATTATAGAGTACAAATTAACACATAACCCAGTTTGAATGGGGGCGCCGCGGTGGCGAGATGTCAATTCCCTCGCCTGGTATACAGGAGGTCGTGGGTTCGACACTGACGCCTGCTGTATATTTGGAGTTTGCATGTTCTCCCCGGTGGTCGCGTGGATTTTTCTCCGGGTCCTCCATCCACATTTAGACACATGCGTGTCGAGTATTTCGCTGCTACAAATTTCCACGTAATAAGCCGCTTCGTTGAGCTATCATTTGTGGCCAGGTCGCTTATCAAAAAAGAGCCATATTGCTCATTGGACCGTACCTGGCAAAACACCAAAAGTTGTTTCATTAATCGTAATTAAAAAATATATATAATGTAGAGCAGCATCGTTACGTCGATGTCGCGTCTACCTGTGCGAAGCCAAACCCAATGATCTTTAGCATCCGAATATTGAGGTGCTGTAATGTGCTTCCGGTGATTGATGATGCACACGCCGATGAGGATCAATACAAGCAGCCGGCTGCACTGCAGGGGTTAAGATCGAAGGAACAAGATTTGAAAGCCTCGAGCGGTATTCGTTTCATTGTCCATCCACTCTCCCCTGCACCCTCACTGGCACAGCACTAACCGGCGTGTTGGAGAGCCAAGCCACAACATTTGAAATCTGAGTACGACGTTTCGCCAGTAATTACAACCAGCTTCATCAGGCGACAGCCACATTTGTGAAGAAGTCAAACTGTTTCGTTCCTTATATAGAGGCGTAGATGTGGTGACCACGCTTCTGCGCTCTTGCACAATGATGGGGGGGGGGTTACTGAAGCAACGTACATGATGCATTATGCGAGCCCTTTGAACTTGTCCTTCCTGACTATTGTGTTTATTAAAATAGCCCTATACATGCGTCGTTTTAAATGTGTCGCTTTAACGACACATTTATATATTTACGCGATCTCACCCAAAAACCTCTATTATGGATGATATTTGGTCGCGAAAGCCTGCGTGTTAAACTGATCACAATTAATTCTGCACACACGCACTGAGACCAGCACTTTGCTCCGCATTGAAAACGTTGCTTTAACCGCTATCGTGCAACCGCAATGTACGGTGTTGTTAATTCTTAATAATTTTATGACACATAATTATAAACGTCTCCCATTTCAAGTACTAAACCAGACTGGGCTCTGCTTTGCTGCCGAGATCCGACACATTCAGGTTCATTCGGTCGTAAGCCAACAGTCGAAGGCATTGCACGCTGTGTCCGCAATATGTTCAGTGTATTATTGTCTTCGTGAATATTATCATTATGCTGCTATGGGAGCTGTTGCACTGGTATAAGAAAGAGCGCGGTGTCTGCAGCTGAGTTAAAGTCAAAGTCTTTCAACGCGGCATTCACGTCACTGCGAGGATACCCACGCTTTGCCCCACCACGCGCGATCCATCAAATCCAGTGACTACAAAGCACTTATTGCTGGAGTGGACAAACGCATGGGGTGATGAATAAATTAGAGGTGTAATAAATCACCCCTACACTCCGGCGATACTATGAGTTGTTATTAGATTCAAGGAGTAGGTTATTATACTATTTACATCTTAGTGAATAGAGCGGCCTCTAATACCTGGGATAGAACTCACACCAGCATGCATTTGTTGCTAATCCCGGAGAAGAGGGCAGTGTTTCCATGCAGAAGCGAATATGGCTCACGATCAGATATGTTTTGCAGTCAAAATCATTCTCATCCTGGGATTTGCAAGATTTTTTTGGGGGGGGGGGAATTTGTTATTATAATTTTTAAACAACTTTGTAATTAGCTTAATTTGCCTGTGATCCGCGTAACTCAATCTTATTTCTGGATGTGAAAAAGAGCTTCAGAGCTTATCAGATTCCTCCAGGATCAATATTCTGATCTTGATCATTAAACCAGCACATAATCCACATCACTCACTCTCTTCGCGTGCAGCCCTTTGTCGATTCACTGCCGGATAAAAGCCTCCCCAGTCCCCACGCTCTATTGGTCGTGGGGGTCGTTGCCCATACTTCACCGTGCTGGTCGGTCTGGGGGTGTTGAATGGGGGGGGGGGGGGCGGCCCGGAACCGGTTCAGTTTTTACTCACGGCCAGAAATTGAACTCATGTTGCCAAGTTCACAGGAGAGTGCGCGAACCACCCCCGACCCACATCACTCAAAGGCTCGCACTGATCGTTACTCTTCTAGCAGATCCAAACGTCGTATGGCAACACACAGGCATTATGGGGGGCAGGAAGGTCGGCTGCCTTCACTGTCACGAGGGTAGAAATCCATATTCTATGCCCCCTTTATGGGCCCTCTTGAGCTACTCCTTTAAGTTGTGTCATATTGGACCACCCCAACAGTGTCTCGGACCCCGGTACAAAGACCTCCGGCTCGCGGGCCACGCCTGCACACTCAACAGCTACGACATCGTCGCCCAGTGCCACGTGACCACCCTCTAACCTTCACAATCGCTCCCACGCGTCCCACAGCCGTCAGCTTCCACACAACCACTGGGGGAGCCAGTGGGGGGGTGGCATGTGCCCCCCCCCCCCCCCGCCCAATGATCCGATCGAAATCCCTAATTTCGATCGGATCATTGGGGTTTTTTGCGACCCCCACTGCCACTGTGTAGCATATTATTACGTGCCAGGGACTCTATGAGATGATAGGACAATAGTCTGAGTTCATAATTGGCAGTAAATAACGGCAAAGCGGTTATGAGTGACTCACAGAATTGTGCGCAGTTGCGTATACAGAGTCCACGACTTCCCTGAAGGCATCAACACCTTCAGCGAGCGCGATGCCGATCACACAACGCGGTTCGAATTCGACCCTCGATCGATAGCTGCGCCATCGCCGCACACGCGTCCAATAAAAATCAAGGGACAAGTCCTTACTTATTACTAACAACTCCTTACTAACAACTCCTTACTTACTAACAACTCCTTACTTACTAACAACTCCTCTATCATTTTTCATTGCTGGAGGGGTTGCCCCCCCACCTTACCTGAAAATCCTGGCTCCGCAATTGCATTGCCCTCCACGAGCCTCCACCGCAATTGGCAGGTTGGCCACACACTGGCCCTGCGAGAACGTGGTCTGCGAGTGTGGGCGCTGCGATGACCGCCGCGCGATGAATAACGACACGGCCGGTGCCCACCACGCCGGGGCTGGCTGGCCGGCACGAGTGCCTTGGTGAGCCATAAACTCGACAACGCACGCGCTCAGCACTCATCACTGGACGGGCATCACGTGTGGTTTTTACAGGACCCTCTCTCGCTCGCTCTCGCTGTGCAGATTAA